ATTTATTTAATGGTAATAATTTTGGGTTCTGAGGTTCAGCAGGAGACTTTATCCCACATGTATGCGATGAGTGTCAGCAGATTCCAGGTACAGGAGGAGCAGAAAACTAGCCTGAATGATAATTTGTGCGTTTTTGTGTGTCTGCAGAGGCGTTTGCTTTGACACATCCTGACAGCTACCACTACCTGAGACAGTCCAGCTGCCACAGCGACAAGACAATCAACGACTTGGGCACCTTCCAGGATGTTCTGGTAGGAGGAAAACTGACTGTCACCCAACATTAACCTGCACATTTACACAGGGTTTACACTGTAGTCACTGATTTAAAGCTAAAGCTAATGAGTATTATAAGAATTATTAGTTTTTTCACTCACTGGTTTATTAAACGAAGCAGTACAAATGACAAATCTTTCAGAAATTGTTTAAAGTAAGTTGTGAATTTAAGTTTTTCCACCTCTTTTTTAGGCCAGAAGTGTTGTTAATGGGTTAAATTAAACATTGTAGTTGCTTGTACAGAGTTCTTCTTGCTATCATAGTAAAACAAAAAGTTCTAATGTCTTTACATTGACCTTGTTGCACTTTTGATTCGGTGAAGTTTAACATTTTGCACACAGAAACTGCACATAGTTTCCCACATAGCTTCAGGTCAATTATATTTCTGTACAGGACTCGCTCAATTATTTATTCATAACCATAAATCATTTGATCCTGGTGAGACTGAAACGTGAAACTAAACCAACAGACTTGTGGGTTCAAATCCGTCCAAACCTCAAAAACACAACACTAAAGACGCGCTCCGCTGCTTGAGATGGATCGTGACCAACAGCAGCTTTTAGTTTTCACCCAGAAGAAACAAAAGGTTTTCATCGGCTTCTTCTTTTCCCAGAATGCAATGCGAACGATGCAGTTCACGGAGGAGAACATCAACGAGGTTCTGCGTCTGCTGGCCGGGATTCTTCACGCAGGAAACATCGAGTTCATGACGGCCGGAGGAGCTCAGGTTTCCTCCAAATCAGGTCGGACGCTTTGTGTTTTCCAACATCTTTTTCTATCTGGATGAAACTATGCTCAGTTAAAACAGCAGCTCTGGTTTCTTGTTTATGAACGGCACAAGCACTGAGACAGAATTTCAGGTATTTTCTTTGTTTTTATACCAGAGTCTGGGTTGATTACAGCATTCTGTTAAGCTGAATTCTTTATCACATCCGCTGTCATCAGGCCTCAGAGTTACATCGTCTCTCAGGGTATTGACTCCTCACGGCTTAGTTCCTCCAACCAGAGATTCGAGTGAAGGAATCAAGGCGACACACATATAATAGGCAGCATTAAACGTTGAAGGGCACCGAAAAAATCACATTTTATGTCACACTAAGGCAAAAAACTGTGTTTTGATCTGAAAACATTACTTTTTTTTATGACATAGTTATTTTTCTTTTAATTTACAGCATGTTTTGGTCCCAGATATTGTTGTTTTTTGTTTGTTTACATTTTTTTAAACAGTGTAAAAGGGCAACTAATGACTTCTTTTTACTTTTTTTATCATTGAAAATCAGGTTAAATGTCTTGGTTCTTCCAGTGAACAATCCCAGGAAGAATTCAGAAGTATTTAATTCCAAATTTTCGTTTTTAACCAAATAGTTCTCATGATTAAACCTGAACAAAATGTAACAACAAACGGAAAATGTCCAGTTGTGTTGTTTTTGAGCACATGTTGACACATGTTGCACTCTCTCCTGTTATTGTCTGTGTTTCAGGACCTACTGAATTTCTGATTGACAGTTTATTTTTGGTCATAATTATTATTGAACACACACGTGCAGCTTGAAGCAGAGACAACATTCCAACTAGCTCACCAACAGGATGTTACAGGAAGTTCAGAAATGAAGCCTAAAGCGCTGTCGCCTCTGACGGTTGTGTTTCTCATGTGTGCAGCTCTCAGCCGGACCTCGGAACTTCTAGGACTGAACTCGGAGCAGCTGGCTGAAGTTCTGACCCACCGGTCCATGATCCTCAGGGGGGAGGAGATCTCCACACCGCTCACCGTGGAACAGGTCACGATACTGATAGATGATACATGCATCTCGTATTAGAGAAAAAACTGTATAGGTTCCGTTCTGTGACACTGAAATCAGATCTGAATTTATAACACACACAAAAAACATCCAGGTGTGTTTGGTGTCTTTCAAAGCTTCAACCAGCAATCAAAGTATTGTTAAGTATGCTTTCATGGACGTTCTCAATGGAGGATTATTTACTGTATATAAGATTTTATAAAAAGAAAATAAAGGTATTAAAATCAATATTAGTAGAAAAATGCTGAAAAACACAATAATTAAATGATTATTGAGAATAATCCTGATAGTTTTTTCTTTTTTCAGGAGCTTTTTCTATAAATGTTACTCCACTGACTGAAGAAAAGTGTATTTTTGTTGTTTTTTTTGTGGTTTCTCTGAGCTGTACATCAGTGATATTTGCTCCCGTGCAGGCGGTCGACTCCAGAGACTCCATGGCGATGGCACTTTATTCTCAGTGTTTCAACTGGATCATCCGCAAACTCAACAACCGCATCCGAGGCAGAGAAGACTTCAAGTCCATCAGCATCCTGGACATCTTTGGATTCGAGAACTTTGAGGTTCGCTTTAATCGGAGGATGTTACGCTGTTAGACGTCCCCACTAACCAAATAATGTGCAACAAAAATGTGATCACTGAGGAGAAAATAAAAAGCTGAGAGAGTCAGAATGTCATATCCTCTCAGGGGTGAATAAAGTTCATTTAATTTAACTGAAATTAATTAAATCTCTCACACAGGAGCGCTGAATCGAACTCGACAACCCGGCGTCATGTTCTCCTTTTAATCAGATTTAATTGTTGTACAAAGGAGTCGGTAAACAAACCTGAGGGATTTACTTGTGTTTACTTCATTAGCGTTCTGATTTCTGCCTCCTTTGGTCCTCTGCAGGTCAACCGCTTCGAGCAGTTCAACATCAACTATGCAAATGAGAAGCTTCAGGAATATTTCAACAAGCACATTTTCTCTCTGGAGCAACTTGAATACAACAAGTAGGTGGAGGATGTGTACGTCTGATCTGAAGTTCAGGCTGCTCTGATTTGTTGAGCTGAAGTTCATTATTTTGATACCTTTAGGTTTATATTTAATGTTATCAGTCATCATAATACAAAGAAGATGTGGCAGCGCTTTGCTTTAATTAGCAGTTATGAACATTATAAAAACACTGAAGTGTTCGTTAATAGAGACATGTTCTATATTATTGTTTTCTACTTATACAGCAGTCTATAGAAGGAGGTGTACGGTTAATTTAATCATAATAAATGTAGAATTGTGCTATATAAGATGATGCTTTATTAATTCCACAGTTGGGGAATTTGCAGTGTTACAGCAGCAGATGGGAAACTACAAAAACATGATTTAAAGAGCTAAAAAATGTAAATTAACAAGAAATGTAGACCAGTACTGTTTTATTGTACTGATTATTATAGAAGTAGAAAATTTAGATTATTGCACAGATTCCCCTGAATGTGGAAAATAATGATATTGCACAGAGTTATTTGTTATTTTTATGTACAAAATACTGATATTCTTCTCAATGTATAAAATATTTCTAGTGTACAGGTTATAGATTTGCTCACATCTACATTATAGTAAATTATAAACTATTGGATAAACTACTAATAAATGCTAAATAGAGGGAAAAAAGGTGTCTCCCTTCACTTTTATTTATTTAAATATGCTGAAAGTGATAAATGTGGACCCTCCTCTATGGACTTCAAGGGCCTGTAACTCTGAAAATATTCCTAGTATGAAGGTAAAACTCTGCATAGATTTAATAGATATACTAAAGTTGCTGTAGATAAAGAATCAGCTGATTCTGAGGAGTGACTTTTTGCAGATTTTTCAAGCAGGTTTACTTTCTTTAAGTCTGTTTCGATACTTCATTTAATCTCGTAAACGCTGCCTCTGTTTTAATTTGTTCAATTGCTTCTCGCAGAGAAGGCCTCGTCTGGGTCGACATCAACTGGATGGACAATGGAGAGTGTCTGGATCTGATCGAGAAGGTAAGTCCTGCTTCGCTCGAGAGATTTCTAAAGGGGGGAAAAAAAGTGTTTCTGTGGTAGATTGTAGGACAAATACATCGAGAAAGTCTTATCACAGGTAAAGCTAATTAGTGAGAAGATGAGAGACAGTTTTTGAGAGATTTTACTTCAATGCTTCATGTTTTTATATGGTAATAGTGAATAAATATATTTATAGAATATGAACCTTCAATAGATTGAACAGTAACAGTAGTGATCGGAATAGACAGGAATAAAAACAACGTTAGTGTTGTGGTGAGGATAAGAACAGTTAGGATGATGATGATGAGATCAATCATGATGATTATGATGGTTATTATCTCTGCGTTTCCATAGAAACTGGGCCTCCTGGCACTGATGAATGAGGAGAGTCACTTCCCCAAAGCTACAGACGACACTTTACTGGAGAAGCTCCACAGCCAGCACTCGGTACGTCAGTTTGTCCGACACACATTCGTCCTCCTGTGATTAAATTATAGAGAAAATAGTTATTTTGGATCATATCAGATAGACACGAGATCACATGCAGCAAAAGTGTGATGAGGGCATCAGGTCGCCTCTGATGTTTGTTTTTCTAACGTTGGAGGTTTCTTGGACACACAACAAAGCTGCTGTACTAAAGAAAACTCACTGAGCTGCAGATGAATGAAAACTAACACCGTTATCTCTTGATTATAAAATGCCAGTTCTTAATTTAACAACGCTGAGTGCATCTTTGTCCTTTAACTAATGAGTGAGTTTAACAACCTTGTTCACTGACTCTCGTAAGTCAGTCAGATTATTTAATCGTCTCCTAATCGTCTGTCTATGTGGGTGAAAAAAGCAAAACCTCCAAAACCTGTGTTGAAAAGGCATGTTGTCTTTGAAAAATCACAAACATTACATTCTATTTATCAGAGCTAGACACAGTAGGAGTGGAAAGAATCATCAGCTTTCCAACATTCCTTGAACTAATCATCAGCTTACATTAAAGGTTTTTCACCAAAATCACTTTATTCTACACGTCTCGATTAAGAATTTACCAAAAATGAAGCACTTTCACTAAACATTCTGTAAAGAAACACTAATTTAAATGAAAAGCCTCGACGGGCTCAGCTGTGAACAACAATCAGATGATTTCTGACATTTAACTGAACTGTTGGTACTTGAAAACATGTCGTCTATGTTGCTTCAATTTTATTGCTTTTTTTTTAGTCTTTGTAAATTAAACAATCAAAGAAATTCAACTTTAGTTTTTCTTTTGTTATGATTCCTGTCTTTCTAACTGTGCTACTGACAGAAGACATTTATTGACTTCTCTCTCCTTCTTCGTGGTTGTTCTGGTTCCATGGAGGTGCAAACATGAACCACAGTGAAACAAAACTGTTTGGAACTCAGACAGTTAATACGTTTGTGTTTATCAGATGTCATAATTTAGCTTCACGCTGATATTAGGACTTTCTAAATGTTCCCTAAACCCATCTTGTGAAGAAATACTAACGTAAGCCAGTTGTAATAATTGAAGATATTATTCTTTATTTGTGCAAACAGTTGCCTCCAATCACTGGTTCCCACAGGAGGAGTTACTGTGGTTGACAAGCGCATTAATAAACACTTAAATCGGCATTTTAGTGAGTTAAAAACATGTTAAATCTTCTCCAGGCTTCTGGAATGTAATTTGCATCCACTTTCTCCATCTTTGTCTTTTTATTTTGCAAATTAAATCAGTAGCTTTGCCATTTAAATGTCATTTATATTGAGACTGAACTGCCTTTCAATACGTGTCTGAAGCTGCTTTAGCATCTGTTGCTGACAGAATATTGATCCTTTTTTATATAAATTCTGGCCAACAGCTCTGCACAGAACAAACAGCCTGACTTGATTTAAACACTGATGTCACTGCAAACAGTAAAGAGACTTTAATTTGGATTCATCTGAGCTCTTATTTAATAACTGTGAATGTTTTCCTGGCTGAGCTTTCGATGGAGATTTACAGCCTTGTTAAAGAGGATTTTACTTGAATAAAGGACCGTTTGATGCATCAAATCAAAGGCAGAGACACTGTTGAAAGGAGGGTTTTGGTTTTTTTTCTCGAGATTTGATTTTAAACAGCAGCTCTGACCTCATGAACCAGTTATAGAGAAGCTTTTAGATGCTTTTTACCTTGAGTCACAATCTGTCTCCCTAACTTATGATGTTACAAGCAAACCGTGTAATTGTTTCATATGAAATCAACCAAATCTGAAAAAATCCCCCCGACCTCCTCAGAATCAGCTGATTATTTATCTTCAGTAACTTTATTTATTGAAGTCGTGCAAAGTTTATTATATTGATGCACAAAAATGAAAAAACACATCTAGGCTTTACTTTGTGACACTTGTAGTTGATGTAAAAATGATCTGGTTGCAGTTTTTACCAGAACTCAAATTTATTTTTCATCCTGTAATATCCTGTAAAATATTCATAGTATGAAGGTAAAACTCTGCCTCATTAAATGTGATCAAATGATCAGAATCAGCTGACTCTGAGAGGGTCGGGTTGGAGGTACTGATTGATTTTTCACTCATTTTTTCTTTCTCCCGCTGCAGAAAAACTCTTTTTATGTGAAGCCCCGTGTTGCTGTTCACTACTTTGGAGTGAGACACTACGCAGGAGAGGTGAGAGCTGCTTAGCTTTGTGTTTTTAGAGACCAGTTTAAATGCTGCCCTGCTGGTTGTGACGCCCCCTGGTGGCCTGTTGCAGGTGGTGTACGACGTGAGGGGGATGCTGGAGAAGAACCGAGACACCTTCAGAGACGACATCCTCAACATGCTGAGGGAGAGCAGGTACATCTGCAGCAGCTCTGCCTCACGTTTCTGCTGCTATCAAGACATTTTATTGTCTTATTGACCTAATTTCACATCCACTGAGCTCAACAGAAAACTTAGAAAACTTGATGTTATTCTTACTTTTTCTTCGACTTCTATTTTACTTTTAACATGCAAATAAATACTTTTTTTTCTAAGATTTCACTAGATGTTATCTGGAATTTAACAAAACAAGGAAATCTGTAAAATAAAAGTCAAACAGTTTTGAAAATAACATTTTTTTTTCTTACAAATAACAGAAGATGTCTGTAAAATAACTATATTTTTACAAATTTAAATATAGTAAAAACAGTCTAATTATGTGATAATATTGATTGTTGTTGTGGACATTATTTACAGTTTTGGACTGTTTTGTTGTTGTTGTTGTTGTTGTTTACCTTTGATATGTAAATTAATACTCTTTTTCAGTGATTTTCAGTGTTTCAATCCCCAACTGTTAATTTACAGATTGTTCCTGTTTTGTTTATTTACAGACAATATCTTGTAAAACCACAGAAAGAAAGTATTAGGTTACATTTTGTAAAACAAAAAAAAAAAAAAATCAAACTGTAATAATGTCCACATCAAAAATATTTACATCATTTTCAAAGTGAAAAATTACTATTTTTTCCTGCATTTAAATGAGTTAAAATGATATTTATTTAATATATATTTGCCCTTATTTTCACAATTTGTTTGTGTGCTTTTCTCTTATTTTTACTGTCTAGTATATGCAGTATGGTACAGTATTAGTAGTGGTATGAACATGTTAATTATATGAACAGAATAAGCTGTAGGTAATATAGGTGTGTTAGATAAAAAATATTATACGGACAAATGTTAAGACAAGCATAAATAACAGCATGAACAGTATTAACTGTTTGAATATCAATACAGTCCTGACTTGATAATCCGACCCTTAACAATCCTAAAACTTTGCTATCCGACAGGTTTTTAGGAAAAACGAAAGAAACCCATTAAAAACAGCCTTAACATACCGACAGCTTTGGATTCTGACTCCGACATGACATTTTATGTCACCAACAAGGATAACAGCGTATTATCTGACTTAACAATCCGACTGATTGGCTACGTTCAGACTGCAGGACTTAATGCTCAATTCAGATTTTTTTGTGAGTTCTTTCGCATTTCCAGTTAAATGCGACTTGTATGTGATCTGCTGTGTGAACTTCATACAACCCAAAAGTGTCCCGCATGTGCAGAAGAGGACACGACGACGTCACACGCAGTGAGCGTGCTCAGTGTTTGCAGAAGTAAACATGGATGGTGGCGCTGCCATCACCGCCACTGATGGTGGAAACAGAACAAGGACCGCTATCCTAAACTGGCATCAGCCGCCAAGTACTACCTGCGCATTCCGGCCACTTCCACCCCTGGGGTGGAAATGTCCCCCCAACCATGCCAAATATTCAGATATTCATCACTGATTGGGCCTGAATATCCAGAGACCAGACAGTGCTATTGGGACCAACCCTACTAGTTACTATAACAACTATGAACAATGAATATTAACAACAAATGACCCTTCAAGCATCAAGCCCTCCTTGTATCTCGACCTCCGTCTTGACAATCCGACAACCTTGCTATCTGACATATAAGAAGGTTTTACATTTAGTGTTGGATTATCGAGTCACAACTGTATTTATATGTTTGGGTTCATTCTCTTTCAGTGAACACAGCTGATAAAATCTAGTGATAATATACAGTTTGCACCTTTTCTCACAAGCAAAAAATGCCTGAGTTTTCCCTCAAATATCACACAGAACAGTTTGTTCACTTTAGTTTGCTTTGGAGCACAGAGAAACATAAGAATAAAGTTTATCCACAGGTTAACTTCCTAAACAGGACCTGATGCCATAAATGTTTCATCATCAGCAACATTCAGGTTTACTTTAGTAACTTTTGTTCAAATGTTTGTTTGCCTCCTCTTCTTCTACTTTAATATTTGCAGTGCACATTTGGCCTCATGCTTGTTTTTAATTCTCCGTTTGTCAGGTTGGACTTTGTCTACGATCTGTTTGAACACGTTCTGAGCCGCAACAAGCAGGACACTCTGAAGATCAGCTCCAAGCACCGGCGGCCCACAGTCAGCACGCAGTTTAAGGTGAGACGCACAAATTCAGCAGGTTTACTGTCAAAGATCCAGAAAACTGTGGTCATCACGGGATCGGCAGGTTACTAGAACCTCCTGGAAATAATGTACGCCATGTAAACATTTCTTTTAAATGGGAAAAGTGTCATAACATCAGTAAGAACATTCTGTTAGCATTGATATTTTTGTTTGTTTTGGTTATGCATCATTAGATCTGTATCGTTTTATAATGTATTTTAATCTGCTCAACACAATATTTCTGTTATAATCACTAGTTTGAGTAACCTGAACGATGCAGATCACTGATGTGTAGCACAGAGCAAATGCACTTTTAGCTATAAAAGCTCTAGAAAAACATCAACAGTTCTTGGAAAAGTACAAAAGTCCTGCAAAATCATGTTTGAAGGCACCACATTCAAACTCTTTCTGGTTCCTTCCATCGCTGCTGCTAAACTTGCATCAGTGCCAGCAGAGGACAGACTTTTTATTTAGTCTGTTAAAGTAACATCTCACATGAATAACGATGTGACGTCATCTAAGTTGTGGATATTTGCATTTTTCTGCTGCTAAAGAATGTATTGTTATGTTACAGATTTTCCACTGTTTTTGTTAAATTACTGTTAATATCTGTTTAAATCACAGAAAAACAAGCATTTTTTTAATGTTGACTGTAAAACAAGGCCAGAACTGTCCAAAAAATCTGTTTTTTCCAATAATAACTCATTCTTTCAAAGTGTTTGATCATAAGATTGTACTTTTTTTGACTGTATTTAAATGAGTAAAAATATTATTGTTACTATACAGATATTTTCTATCTGAAAGAAAGTTGTGGATATTTATGTTGCTCTGCTGCAAAACTTCAGTAAAAATAAAGTTAAATTTTAATCTTAATTTGTTTTAAAGAATTCCAGGTTTTTTAGGTGCATGTTTGTAGCGACGCCTCCAGTAACACAACTTTTGTCTCTGCAGGATTCTCTGCACTCCCTGATGGCCACGCTCAGCACCTCCAACCCCTATTTTATTCGATGCATCAAACCGAACACACACAAGGTGAGTTCTGATGTTCACTCACAGCTTCCAGTCAGGACGTTGGTGCTCTCAGAGAGAGACTGTGTGAATCGGTTTAATAATCCAACCGTCGTCCCCCCAACAACCAGCTGCAGACTGGAATGAGCAGAGTCTGGTGACCTTTGACCCCTGGTTGCCTGGTAACAGCTGGAGCAGTAAAGCATGCAGAATAATGTACACAAATGATAAACAGGAAGGAGTGCTGGGACTCAGCGTCTGCACTGTGAGATATTTCACATGTATATATTACATTTATAATTCTTGAACCTTGAACCGACCAGAACTACAAATCATGACTCAGCTTCCCAGAAGTCTCTGTGAGGAGACTGTCGGTGGAGGTTTAACCTGGAAATGAAGCGTGACTTTGGATTGTGGGTTTGTTTGCTCATTTGTCAGTTTTCTCACACAGCTGAGGCGGCTTCTTCTTCCTTTCTTTGCTCTGTATTTTATTTCCAGATTTCTCATGTCCGTCTGCATGCAGTCTGTTAGACACGGTCCAGTCGAGTGTGTATTGACGAACTCGTCGGCACTCGTTCTTATCGATACGTGTCTGGATGCTTTGCTGACTCATTAGCTTCACTGTCAAGTTAAAGTCGAAACACTCGCATTGATCACTGATGTCAGTGATCATCGATTCCTCTCCAAACCTGCTCGTCGAGTTCGTCGTTGCTAGAAGTTAATTGATATGTTCATTAACTGACTGCTGGTTTGAAACTTAGGAAACTATTTATGGTTTCAGCTACATTTGTATTATTTTTTAAATTTTTTTACTTTTTTTATTTTTTTTTGAAAGGAATTAATAAAAAAAACTGTTGCAGTTTTTGTTCCACACTGTAAAAAATGAACATTTTAACCATTTTTAACTGTAATTTACACATATAGGAATCTACATATAGTTAATTTACAGATGTTTCCGTATTTTTTATTTTTATTTTTTTTAAATAAATTATAGATAATATCTAGAAAAATAACAGAAAAAAGTATTATTTTACATGTTACCATAAAACAGGCTAACAAAAATCTGTATTTTTTTGAATGGTAATTTGGGCTTTTCTCGCTTCTTAACTGAATTAAAATCAGTAAGAATATAATTATTATAAAGATATTTGCAGCTATTTAAAAGAAAAAAATATATATAGTCAAGACAGAAAAACGATAAATCAATTTCTAAACATTTTTCTTGGATTTTGATGTAAAATGTTGACTGTAAAAAACAGACTAGAACTGTACATAATGTCCACAAATTTTTTTTATTTTTTTTTAAACAGATTTTTACAGATTTTTTAATCTGAAGCCCAAATCTCATTTTTTCCAGCACATTTTTCCCCCCTCTAACTTTGAGCATCAATATTATGGGATGTATGATAGTCTGAAGAGTAAAGCTGTGGCAGTTTAATGTCTATGACATAGAGTGATAGAAACAATCATTGGTACCCTGGATGTGTTTCTGTTTTCTGATAATTCACCAGAGAAAACTTTAAAAAGTGCATTCTGGGTAAACTTTCAAGGCTCATATCAACATGTGTGATGGTGGTTGGTCAGAACTAGTTATAGACAATAAAAGGATCATTTGACCTACCTCTCTAATACAGACATACTTTAGTTTTTCCAGATGTGGCTGATTTGGCATTGGTTGAGCTGCATGAGGTAAAGCTGAGTGGTTTCAGACTGTGAGCTGTTCGTGTTATTTTGTCCACGTTTACGCCACTCGCTTCTGTGCCGAGCAGCAGTGACGTGAGCACAAAGACATTGGTGACGCAGATGCAGCACGACTGTGAGGAGTCGTGTGTTAGAAGCTTTATTCACATGAAGTCAGACAGACAGAAGGCTTCTGTTTGTCACTCTGTGTGTGTGTGTGTGTGTGTGTGTGTGCGTGTGTGTGTGTGTGTGTGTGAATATCAACAGAATGTAAAACCACCTTTTTATTACAGTTTTGCTAACACTTGTGGGCATTTGAGGAGAAAAATATACATTCTGTGTCTTTTTTTTTTTTCAAGTTTAAAAAAAGTAGATCTTCAAAGAAATTCAACTTTTTAATGCTTTTTTATGCTTTATGGAATTCTATACAGCACAGAAGACATTTAGTTCTCTCTCTTTCTTCATGGTTGTTCTGTTTCCACAGAGCTGCAGGACTTTATGTTGCAGAGAAAAATGAACCACAGAGAGGGAAAATGTAAAAGTGTAACATGAGCAAAAGATGCTCAGAAACTGCTTTGAGTTAAGCCTGTAAACATATTCCAGCAGACCCCCAAATAGAATTATAAAACTATAAATGTGCAGAACATGGGCTCTTTAAAGAGGTTTTTTTAATAACAGAATCTAAAGACTCACTCAAAATGACAAAAAATAAACACTAAATTATTAATAATTCAGTTTGAACTACCTGTAATCTGAACGCTTGAACGCTGCTCTGATAATAAAAATTTACTAAAGATGCAACAACTTTTTTCTGATAAATAAACACATAGATGGGTGCAGAGGGGAGAAACACACATATGTTGGTCTTCAGTGTCCTCTGGGAGACCAGCTGGACGAGTTTTTATGAGGCCAAACGCGTCCGTCTGGACTCTGATCGAATGTTAAACAAGGCTGGATGATGACGTCTGACTGGAGCTTAATGTAGTGGGGGAGAGGAGCTCGAGCCTCCCCCAGGCCTCCCCCAGGGGATCCGGGGGTCACAGAGACACGTGGCCCCTAAAAGCCCCCCAGAGGCGTCCTGTCTTCTGCCTGTTTGGCTGAGCAGGTGTCAGATGGAGGGATGATGATGCTGAGCGAGTGAGCAACAGTAAATTAAAAAAAAGAACATTTTTAATCTGTAGATTTTTAAACAGTTTACTGTCATTTTATAAATTGCCCTGTTTTCCTAAATTAGCAGAAAGAAATGATTGATCAAATCAAATCAAGTTTATTGTCATTTTGCTGTTCATACACAGTAGTACAGGCAAGATGAGAGAGTGTTTCCTCAGGATCCAATAACTTATAGCAATTTAAATAAAGAAGTGTTTGTATATCTGGATCAGCAGTTCAGCATTCTGACAGCTTGTGGAATGAAGCTGTTGATCATTCTGGAGGTTCTTCCTTTAATGCTCCAGAAGGAGTCCCTGACAATGTTCATTGACACATTAATCCTAAAAAAAACTGGCTAAAATGTAAATAATAAATGGTAGTTTCACCACAATTTTCACTGAAATATAATCAGTAAGACTTTAATTATTATACATATATTTGCCATTATTTAAAAGAAAAATATGTGTAATTAGGATTTTAAAAGGAAATGTTAGATAATATATCAAGTAAAAGCCCTAAAAAAACAACAACAACAACAAACAGGCCAAAACTGTGACAAAAATGTTGACCTAAAAAATCAGTATTTTTTTAAATAGTAATTCATTCTTTTACAACTTTCCTCAAAATTACAGTTTTTTGTTTCTATTTTTGTTTCTATTTAAACATT